AGGACACACTGAGGAGAAAGGGGATGAAAATGTCTCATATCCCAGATAGTTGCCTGTCAGGATTTAGCTGGAGCCAGTAGTGGTGGTGATGTCATCTGAGTTCTTCTCTCAGGCCTGGTCAGGGCATGTTTTTGGATTAGGAAGAAGACAGCTCAATGGTGACTGTGTCCCAGGAGATAGTAGTGGTGGCAGCCATGATGGTAAAGCTCACTCCTACTGGTTCACCCCTCTCTGAGTCAGTAGCTGTTAATGAACAAATCTTCTTCCTTTCCTTTCCCCCCACAATGGTCTTTTAAGGATGTCAAAAGGGAATGATGGACAGAAGGTAGAAGAAGAACAATGGTCCATTAACTAAGCCTAATTTCCAATACACCAATTTTGCTCCATTGATTTTTTTTTCAGTCCTGTGCTTTTCTTTGTTTATTAAACATAATCTTAACACAATCCATGAGTTATACCAGTTGGCCTTTTTGTTTGGATTCATTCAGTCTTTCTGTCTCCCTTTTGGACCTTTTCCCATCCACATTTTGTTAGAAGCTATTGCGATATTTTATGAATTTTCACTCACTTTTCACAATTGAGCTCACAACTAGGGTAAATTTGTAAGCTCAGTTAACCCAACAGAGCTCGGTAGATGATGGCCCTGAGACAGGATGTATAATAGTTCAGTTATTCATCAAAATACTAGTTCTCCCATTCACTGCTCAATGAACAATGAGCATGAATTCTTTAAGACAGACAACTTCACGGTGCAAAATCAAAGTTGCATTAAAATTAATTTCTTAGTAAATTGGTTAGGCCCATCCTGAAATTAATCCCAGTATACTTCTAGCAATTACCTCAGAGCTATCCTTATTGAAACATATTTAAAGCTACAAATTAATTAAAATTAACAATTTCCAAGAGTTTAATGAGCTGTTATGACTCACCATACAAAAAGTGCAACCATACACTTGCAGTCGGATCGAATTTTATTTTAGATTCAGGACAACAAAGAATAAAAACAAAAGATTAGCTCACCATCAGAGAGCATAGTGCGTGTGGCCTGTGCAAAAGGCTGCATCCAGTGTGCTTTCCAAAATGGCAGCAGACCCAGCAGACAGGCAGACTTGTCAGAAAGTTGCCTAACTGACTCAAAAAAGTCTGAATGGAAGACCATTTCAAATAATATCCTGTTTCTTTAAGCACAGTCCTATTTAGAAAGCAGGGGGAGC